ATTTTTCTGACAGGCTGCTGAATGGAAGTCATAGCTTGGAAGATGACGAAGATGATCTCAGTGGTCAGACAGCTTCCGAATCACAGTAAATTTTAGCTGTTATTCTCATGAGTGCATTAAATAAAGTGCCCTTGGCATAAGGAGAAGACTCAGTGTAACACAAATACAATCTGTGCACGTACCTGCCACAGGAAATATAGTGCCAGCATAATCTGAAGAGGGGCAGACCACAGCATGTTAAGGAAGGTGGTCAGATCCATGAACCTCTGCGCATCCACAGACATCAGGTTGACTATCTCTCCCACAGTAGATGAACGCTTGGCTGCATTAGTTATCACTAGTGCCTGTAAAACAAACAAACAGGGAAAAAAACCCTTAACACCACAAGAATATTTTCTATGAAGCAATTGATATCTCCCTTCTAAATTTAAATATGAATGTAATTTGTTTGCAGAACAAAATAAATCTAATGTGATTGTTTCCTGCATACCTTCCTGTAGATAGCTCCGATGACAGCAGTGCGCACATTCATGCCAGTGACAAAACAGTACTGAAATTGATGGTGGAGTATGAGGGTTTGCAGCAGGGCTGTGAAGAACATAAGGCAGGCCAGCGTGTACCCCCACCAATTAGGAACATCTTTTGCTTTAATGAACAAGATCAGCATCCTGGAAAGATAAAGAAGAGGAATAATTTGATTAAAGCACGTGAAGCTGAAATAACCAAAAGTGTAAACTCCTGTGTAAGCCCTCCATCCATGCAGACACACACTGCAAAATGTTAGTGTCATTTAGCGCACTATGATCCAGGTATCCTCCAGGTTGGACTGTACAGACATCTATTCTTTAACTATGGCATTAAAATACTGGGAAGAACTGCTGACCTTCAACACCTGAATAAAAAGATTTAAAAAAAAGTCTGGCATTCACAGAAGAGTGTTACTATTGGCAGAGACCTTAGCAGCTTTGTTGACTCATGGTGTGAGTGTGTCAACACACCACTGTTTCCCAGGCCTCTAATTTCTTCTGTGCTCGCCTGTTGAAATCAGACCAAATCAAACATGTTCTTTAATCAGCCGTCCTCTGGCACCGTTATGAGGACACACAAGTCACGAGGCTCACGAGACTTGGAATGTCCTCCGACAATCACCTGAAGCTCCTTTGTTCGAACTGCGCTCATGCTTTTGCCCTCAAGGCGAGTCACTTTCCCCGAAATCTCAGCTAAACCAAAACTCTAGTCTGTTTTAACTTTTCATGCATTTTACTTCATTACTCTTGCAAAGTATTACAGACTTATTTGTATCTTTTTGAGTTAGCGACACACGTTATTTAGCTTAGCATGTCACCTTTATAGCTTTACATACTATATATCAGAAACTCACTTATTCCTGACACTCCCTAACTTCCCTAATTTCACATTCCAGGAGGACTGCTATTTTGTGCTATAGGGACAAAGAACCTGTTTAACCTGAGATAGATACGCTTAATCTGCAGATTATCGACTCTTTCCATGGGTGATTACAATATGTAAAGGCAGCTTAAAGGCCAGAGCTAGAATGACGTGTACATCCTGTTGTAACAGTAGATTTTTCATAGTATAGCATAGTATATAAACCAGTAAAGGGCTCAATGGCATGTCAAAGCTGAACATGAGGGACAAAATAGTTGTCTTTAATGTTTAAGTGTGTGGCAACTGCTTCTTCTGGTTAAGGGTTTTGTTATTACTGTGGTTATACTCTTAGAAACTACTTTTACAAGTTTGATTATAAATACAGTGCATCTGAAGAGTGCTCTTTACTTGCTCCACAGTTTGTCCCGTTACAGCCTTCTTCCAAAATGAACTAAATTCATTTCTTTACCACAATATTCTGTACACAACACCCCATGATGAAGGTTCCTAAAATTCTTGCAAATGTGTTAAAAAGAAAGAACAAAACCAAGTGTATGTAACATGAACACAAGTATTCACAGCTTTGCTGTTTCCACTGATCTCCTGTCATGTTTCCACAACTTGATTTGAGTCCATCTGTGGTAAATCCAGTTGATATGAGAAAAGGCATACTGTCTATATGAGATCTCATAGCTGACAGTGCATATCAGAGCACAGACCATTTAAGTCTAATGAATTGTCTGTAGACCTCTGAGACAGGATTGTATCGAGTAAGATCTGGGGGAGGGTACAAAGCCTTCTGCAGCACTGAAGGTCCCAATGGGCACAGTGGCCTCCATCATCTATAAAGAAGAAGTTTGGAACGACCACCAGGACTGGTAACGGAGCTGGCTGCTCAACCAATCTTAGCAACTGGGCAGTTTGGTCAGGGAAGTGACCCAGATGCCGGTGAGCTCTGACAGAGCTTCAGCATTGGAGAGAGTAGAACCTTTCAGAAGGACAACCAGTTTTTCAGCACTCTTGTTATTAGGCCTGTATGTTAGATTGGCCAGTCGGAAGCCACTCCTCAGTGAAAGGTACACGACACCTCATCTGGAGTCTGACAAAAGACACTTAAAGGACTGTCAGACCACGAGAAGCAAAATGATTTGGTCTCTTCAGTTAATGTCTGGAGGAAACCAGGCAACGAAAGATGAATGCAGACATGTACTGAGACATCCTCGATGATAACCTGCTTCAGAGCGCTCTGGACCTCAGACTGGAACAAAGGATTTTCACCCAAACGAACAATGACCCTAAGTGCACAGCCAAGATAACAAAGGAATGGCTTTGAGACCACTCTGTGAATGAGTGCCCCAGTCAGTGAATAGCTGGGCACTGATGCGCTCCATCCAACCCGATTCAGCTTGAGAGGTTCTTCAAACAAGAATGAAAGGTGTGCTGAGCTTGTGGCATCATACTCGAAAAGACTTGAGGCTGTCACTGATTAAGTACTGAGCAAAGGCTTTTAATTCTTATGTGCATGTTTTCCGCACTTTTTCCGTTTTTAGTAAATTTAAAAGAATTCCAAGCAAAGTTTTTGCCCACGTTGTCATCATGGGAACTGTGTGTAGAATTTTTAGTAGAGCAATGAATTCATTAAATGTTGAAAAAGACTGTAACATGACAAAATTTGGAACAAGCAACAACAGCATCTCTGTGAAAGGAAACATGCTGTACATATAAAATATAAATAGGAATCTCTGGATGGCGTTACCACCGACATTCTAATGAATGTTTGGAAGGACTGTAAAGTTTTCCCGTCACTATTTTCTTCCCTCTCTTTCTCAGACTGTATTAACTTCTAAAAATGGCTCAAAATTAGTTTTTCTATTTTACATATAAGGCATCGTATTAAATCCTGAGATCCATTTTTCCATAGAGGAGAGGCTGGAACTTTAACATACAAAAATACTACATTTATTCTACAAAAATAAATGAAAAAGCTGTCTTATCAAAAGATAACTGTCAAATAAAAGGACAGAAAATTTGAAATTAAAATTTCCCCCCACGGTGCCGCAAGTGATATATCAGCGTTAGGAGGGAATGTTCAAACACATCAGTCCAACAAAAGACACATGCAGGAAAACTATCTGGGAAGCCATCTCTGATAGCTTATCTACACAGTGATAAGGATTTCTGAGAAAGGCTCCTATCATTGAATTTGCACCCTGGGCTACTAAAGGCATAAAGAGGAAACATATTTACATGAGGAGTTTGCATCCTGAACAAGGACAGTGTACGCCTTTAAATATAGACAGCTAACATGCTCTGCATAAAGAAGACCGAAATGCAAAAACACAAATGCAGCATGCAAAAATCTGTCCTAGAAATGATATTCCACAATGCTGGAACAATAGTTGTTTGTGTGCTGTAGTAAAGAGAGCACGCAATAGTAGAGTAGAATCTTTGTCTTTACTTCAGGAGCTGTGGGTTGACAAAGGTGATGATATCCTGCAGGAGCTTGTAGCCTGAGCCAATCAGAAAGTAGGGTCCAAAGGCCTTGACGAGGGCGCGAAGGAAGGATGGCTGGTGCGCGACTTTCTTACTGGACAGCAGCACCTCTACTTCCTCTGGGCTGCTTTCGCCTTCTCCTCCTCCTGAGATGTGGTTGGTGGTTGACGGCGGGGGCTTAGCGTACGTAGCCTGGCTAGCCACACTCTCTTCACTGTAGGGGGGAGGATTTGGGTATTTAGGATGGGAATGAAAGAAAAAGAGCAAGAGATTCAATACAATTACATTTTATTTATATAGCACCAAATCATCACCAAATCATCACCTCAAGATTTATATTGTAAGGTGAAGATCCTACGATAATACAAAAAACCCCAACAATCAGATGGTTCCTAGAAGCAAGCACTCGGGAGGAAGACTCCCCAGTAACAGGATGAAACCCCTGAACTAGGCAGTTGTACTGGACCTTCACCAGGACCCAAGCATAGTGACTGAATCATGTGAGGCCAAGATAACATGTTACTCAAGATACAGAGGTGCTTTTTTCTGAATAACATCAGTTGTGAACAGATAATTGGCACAGCAATTTGGATCAAAAGGTTTGGAAGGAAAAGTCTAACTTAAGTTTCTTTAATGACACATATCCTGACTGTTTAACTACAGCAGCACAAAGTGGCACGCTCATACTGATAAAGCAGCATGTTGTGTGTCTGACTCCCTCTGCCAAATATTTAACATTTGCTAACCTTTTCAGCAGGCTTTCAGGGTTAGGGCTGGCTTTCGTTAAAGCCACATGCTCGGCACAGTTCAGAAACTAGAGGATGCTACGCTTCACATGAAATCTCATACATTTTTGGCATTACAGTTCTTATGTTAGAAGATTTTCCATTTGTGTGCTGTGCTCGGAAAATATTTGTCTCCAGATTTTTAAAATATATTAAAAAAAAATTACCAGTAATAATTTGATAAGATGACCTTTATTAGTCCCACAGGTGGGAAATTTGTTAATGATATGAGTTTCGAAAAAGTAAATTAAACTGCCAGAGCTCCTGACCAGTGGCGGTCCTAGCCTGTTATGCGCCCTGGGCAAGCA